TTGTTTTTGTGCTCCAAATCTTCTTCAAGATGTGTTTTACTGCCTCCCAATGCATTCTGGTCGTCTCTGGACTATTTTTGATATTTATATCCTCTGAATATTAGGTTACCAAAGGAGTTTTAATCGTATAAGGAAAGAAAATTTCGTAGCGGACAAATTGCCATGCGATCGTATGGTTTTAATCCGTGCGGCCACATGATTATTCCATATTTCCAATTAAATTCCCTGCATTCATTTGTGCGGCCACACGAGAGTTCTACCATGCGACCGCATGGTAGACTTCAACTTTCAAAAACTTCAATTTAGTCCATTTACTTGAATCTTTCTCTTCTAGGCCTCTTTTCTTCACTCTTTCCATTCCATTATCCCAAGGCATCATCAATTGGCATTTGATTCAACCAATTCCTTGATTTGTTCATCAGGTCAACTTTTGGGTAATTGCACCTTGGTCCTTGAACTTTCACTTTGTGTCATTTTAGTCCTTTTTCGCGTCTTTTCTCATGTATTTCACCATGTTCATTGGTATTTCCTACAATTCACAAATGTAATGAAATTAAGTCACAATTCAATTATTTTGCTCGTAATTAAGTCATGTTTGTGACTTAAATAAGTGTGCAAAAACACACTTATTGTTCTTTTTTACTTTTTGTCCTTTTTTTTTTTTTAATCATGAATCCAATAACTCTGTCCATTCGCACATATGAAAACATCCAAAGGCGACCGATGGTGAAAGCAAAGTACGACATAGTATAGGGAATAGGTCGCGGTAAGTAAAAGGCATTCATGAACTCTTTACTAATGGATTCTTCTATCTAGTACTAAAGAAAACGAGTAAGAAGTGCTTCTTGCTTGAAAAGAAAGGGCAATTAAATGGGTAATTCATCGTCCCCATTGAGGTGGGGAAAGTGCGATGATAACTTTAAGCCCGCATCTTCACCTTTTGTTGTAAAGGAATGAAAAAGTTTCGAAAAACTAGTTATTTGTAACCTATCGAAGTAAGAAACCTCGACATGGTTTAGTTATAATAATCTCTTTTAGCTATAAATAATTTTATGAAAATGATCTGTCGAGATCAATTTATTACAAAGTTGATTAATTAGAGACGACCTCTGACATAGATTGACACCATCTTGAAGGAAATTACCCGAGTAAGTTAATGACTTCTAGTGCTATCTTTCCTTATTCTAAAATAAAGATCACGGCAATACTTAAATCAAAAATTGAACATTTTAAAGGGGAAAAGATAAATTAAAAAAAAAAAAAAATTCCATAAGCGGACTTCAAATTTATTGGGATTAGAGTTTTAACTTCTTGTTTCATATTTGATATATCATATAGAAATGTACACGACTTTCTATTGTCATGTTGAAAAATACGTAAATAGCTAGCAACCATAACTTGCAGTATGAAAAGGAGGAAAATGAAAAAGGGAAAATCCAATATGTTGATTTATTATTGGGAGGGAATTTTTCATGCTTATAAAGAAAATGTTAAAACGATTGAAGTCAACAAAGGCTTCTCATTAATTTTATCAACGGAATTAGACGTTGACTTATTTTCATTTTAGCCAGTCACAACCAACCAGGTTCGGCGTAAGTACAACATAGTAAAATAATTTATTAATTCACAAATAATTTCTTTATTTGATGGATATCGACTCCTCGCAGTATGATTTGATTTGTCGAATTTTAGAGTCTGCATTAAAGGAGAGAGATTTGACAGATTGAAAATAACGTCGATAGATGAAAAACATGCAATTATACAATTATCAACTAACTTTTATTCTTAATAAATTTAAAATCTACTATACTATTCAACAAAATTAGTTGCGAGATAAATGATTTTTTTTTTTTAACCATATGATGAATATAAAATAAATAAATTGTACTTTTTTCTAATTGAGAATCCGTGGGAAGAGCAAAATTGACTTCTATAAATTTAATTTTCAACCTTTTCTCGTGATTGGTGTGTGAATGTTCGTTGTCAAATTTTGTTGGGTAACCATAGACTCATAAGTGGTGTTAGACTTTTAGCAAAGTCTCAACTGTGTTACTAAATTTTAATTTATTTCAGTTGGGTCACTAAATTAAAATTCGTTTTCAAATATCACTACTTTGACATAGTCATCACATCTCTCATCTTTGGCTCTTGGGTAAGTGCAAGTGTACAAGCAGCCTTCCACCCTGTACCTTTGGAGGCATAACCTGCGATTTACCTCCCCCACGATACTCCAGGGCAGGGGTGGTGGGGGACCCTTAAGGTTAGGGTTTAACCTTTTTTTTTTTTTTTCACATCTCTCATCTTTCATATTGACAAAGAATTGTACGGTTGAGAACTACGTAGTAACTGATATCTCACGTATTCGTTACTTAGTACTTTAGAAACGAAAATAATAAAATGAAGGTTACGACAATGTTTTTAGATTAAGAGGTTAATATGTGGTTTTTAAACATTTTTATGGCATCTCATAGTTGTGTAGTGGTAAGTTGGGATGCTACACAACAATGATACGAAAGATATGTTGCAATATGACTAGGTTAATCAAATTTTGCCAGTTGAGATCCAAAAAAATTGAAATTTAGTGATCCGATTGAAATTAAATTAAAGTTCACTGAATGACCCAATTAAAAATTTGCCGAAAGTTGAGGGATATCACATGAAATTTACCAATTTTATTGGTACCATATTTCTTTGGATATGAGAATTATTTATTTAATAAACAACAAAAACGAGGATTGTCGAAAGGGGTTGGTAGGATAGGTGGCGATGTTTACTAAGTGACTTCAAACTCTTTAACGCCCACCAATTCAATTTAATAAATATTGGCATCCCTCTTGTGACTCTATAGTCCATTTCATCCATCCATTACTATACGAAAATTTGTTTTATCTAATTTTATTTTATTTTAAAATAAACACAATACATTGAGCCTCTGTTTAAAAAAATAATTTATAAATGTTTAATTTATGTATAGATATAAATTAATGGTAAATAAGTTGATGATACTGATAGATCTATTAAAATGTAATGTTGAAAACGAAGTTTGACAATTTATTAATGAGCTTTGTTAGATGTACATAATTAGGGGTGCCCACACACCCTCACATGGGGCCCTCATATGATTATGTACGAGTAGACTTTTTATTTATAAATTTTGTTGGAGACTAAGTCCTTATTTGAGTCACATTATTTTCATAAGAATGTATTTTTGAATAGTGTATTGATGAGAAATGTGTGATTAAAAAATAAAGAATTTTTTTTTTATTCATTTAAAGTTGGAACAAATTTTCAACTAAAAAAATAGTTAAGATTGCGCACATAATTTTATTGGTATCTATTGCGGATGATTTTTTTTTTTTTTAATTTTTATCCTTTTCTCAATTTTTTTTTATCAAGGTGTCCGTCTTGAACGACTATTCCTTGGGTCTGTGATCCGACCTCTCTTCACACAGATCAGTTAAACCGCGGGATGTGCCTCCAACTGACCAGGGTCCGAGCACCTCTCCAACTGAATTGCCAAAGTGCCTAGTGAGCCAACCTATGTTGCGTCTTACCTTTCAAGACACTCCTGCCTTCCAGTATGTGCCTTGTCTTCCAAGAGCCCCAAGAATCGAACCCACGACCTCTGATCTGCCAGCTTTGAGAGAACCCGTCCTTTACCAGTGGAGAAGTGCTCGGAGGGCGCTTTTCTCAACTTTATTGTCATAGTAATGTGAGCTAGAAATGACACCAACTTGCTTTTATTTTGTGTACACAACTTTGTATAAAAGCTTAATTAATGCCCCATATTATAGGTAAAGCTATCAATATCCCAACAATTAACTAACTGCATTTCAAACACAAGATATCAAAAATTAAAAATTGAACACTTTTCATTTCAAACACAAGATATCAAAAATTAAAAATTTAACCCTTTTTTTTTTTTTTTTGTCGAGATATCGTGCAATTCTTTTTTTAAATATCTCGTACAAAAATTAGTTGTAAAAGAATGAGTTTTTTTTTTTTTTTTTAATTTATGTATATATCTTCAACACAAAATTACACACACACACAATTTTTTTTTTCTACTTTCTACCAAGTTGAGCTAATATTTTGCAGTACAAATGCCCAGATGGATACGAAAGTAAGCAATACCAATAAATCACAGCATCATTTGGTCAAATAAATAGAGCACAATAATTTTAAATTTTAATTAGAGTTTGGCACCAAAGATTACTCTGCCTACCGTATGCTGCCATTTGTCAGCATCAATTCTTCATTTAAACTTTTACGAATGAAATAATGTTATTTATAGAGGGTGTTTGAGAGCCATTGTTATGTAAAAATACATTTTAGAATAGTAACTTGATGAGAAGTATGTGGTTGAAAAATAAGGAAATCTTTTTGATTTACGTATAATATTATTTTAATAGAGAATATGTGGTTGAAAAGAAGAAAGAGAAAAATGCATTTTGAAAAAAAAAGAGGTACCAAATGTGGGCATATCGAATTATTAATTTTTTACTACATGCAGCACGTCACATTTTACTACCTTTTTTAACATTCGAGCACATTACACTCGCATCTTTCCATTTAATAAGAAGTGATGATGCACACAAGTGTTAAAAATGTATTGAGAGAACGGAAAATGTTATATGTATAAATTATTTTTACACAATGCTTTATTCACTACTCACAATATGGATGGAGATCACAAGCCGTCATTTTTTAAATACATACAGGGTCCACACATTATGTAAGAGGAAGTAAAAGATTTTGTCGATCATAGTTTATACATATATATTTTTTATTGAGAGAACACCCAACATATATTAATCAAGTCTCTCTCTCTCTATATGTATATGTGTATATATATTGATTAATATAATTAATTAACAAAAAGGAAAAGAAAAATAGAACTGGCATGTGAGTCAAGAAAGACGGTCTTAACAAAAATTCCACTCGGTCAGTATTCAAAAAATACTGCCTTGCTAGCAATTTGGGCCGCCTAGTAATTTGTGTCTGGGTGTGTGTATATATATACTCACTTTGCTCTGTTCGATAATCCATAGTTGTTTCTCTGTGTCATTGCTGATTGCTCGCTGCTAAACTCCTAGCATTCAACAGGTATACACTCTTTAATATTCACACATACAAAAACGCATGCAAATTTCTTGCGAGCTTCGATTCATGCAGATTTTCTTACTTGTCTCACTTGTTTTTGCCTACTTTAGGTTGATTGGATCTTATTTTCTGGATCGTTAATTCGTATTTGAATCTAGTTTTGTACTGGGTCATTTTAGATGTTAGATCTATGTATTTCGTCTATACATGTTAGAAATAAGTAAAGGTAATTAGACAAAAAAAAAAAACTATAAATTCCTTGGATGATCTTTTCTAATCTTTATAAAAATTGCTTTGTTGGGTTAGAAAACCTATACGTATGGTTAAATTTTTTTTTGAACAAATTAGTACCTATTTGGTTTGTTTGTTTGTTTGTTTATTGGGTGTACAGAGGAAATTTTGGGTCCGTAAGTATTTGGTAATCAAAGTGGAACTAATTTCGCCTAACCTCATACTGATTCTGTGAAATTAGTATAGTTAGCAAAGATATTGAGAAATGATAGGGTCCATTTTGCATTATGCCATCTATGTACTACTCTACTTTTCCATCATATAATTTTGCGTTGAAACTTGGTGGGATTTTGTGTAAAACAGGTATTATCCTCATCATGGCTCCAGCAGCAGCAGGGGATTCAATTAATCCAAGGGGTACTGTATTTTCCTTTGTTTTATTTCTATTTTCACATGCTCCCACACGGTTTTTGTATTTAATTTGAGTTTCTTTAGAATCTGTTGTTTCAAATCTTGGTAATTCGTGCTTTAGAATTATGGTACTTGACTTTGTTGTTAAATCATTTGTATTGTTGTTGGCTATGAGTCAATGTCTTTTCCTTGATTTTTTTTTTCCAGAAAAGTTATATGAAGATTATAAGGAAAATTATTTGAAATTTTTAATTGGATATAAGACACGACACCATGTCCCATATGATGTGTGTATATTCACTTCCATATTTTCTAAAATTTCCTTAGATAGATCACTTAGTTATATCTACACGTAGCCATTCTCTTTAACTTGTATGCTCTGATTTGAATAGATGTTTGCATTGTTGGTGTTGCCCGTACTCCAATGGGTGGCTTTCTTGGCTCTCTTTCTTCGGTATCTGCAACCAAGCTTGGATCAATTGCCATTGAGAGTAAAATTACAACCTTCATATTTCATCTTTCCAATGGGAAAGTATTTTTCCTAGCTTTAGTTATCTTAGATAATTTACTTATGCTTCTTTGAAATTCCAATTTTAGGCGCTCTTAAGAGAGCAAGTGTTGATCCATCACTAGTCCAAGAAGTTTTCTTTGGGAATGTACTCAGTGCAAATTTGGGACAGGCCCCTGCAAGGCAGGCGGCATTAGGTGCAGGGATACCCAACACAGTGATCTGCACAACTGTTAACAAAGTCTGTGCATCGGGGATGAAAGGTACAGAACTTGAAATTACAAAATTGTGGTTCCACTTTTAGAAAAAGTGGATCTGTGAAACATAAATAGTAGGTCTTCTATTTTTAATACTCTATATTCTGTTTTGGCCATTGCAGCGACTATGCTTGCAGCACAAAGTATCCAGTTGGGCATTAATGATGTTGTTGTGGCTGGTGGCATGGAAAGCATGTCCAATGTACCTAAATACCTGGCAGAAGCAAGGTTGCTATTTTAAACTTAGGCCCTGAGGACCTTTTTTTTCTCGTTTTCCATCTAAGTTATGTTAAATGAGCTTCCTTTCCTTTTTCTAACCTCACAAGCATTATTTAAGAGATGAACAAACAATGATGGACGCAAGAAATGACAAGCGATACTATCATGCATACTAAGTAGACACAAGTGCTTGTTCAAGTTTCGGGTTCATCATATCATCGTATGCTTATATCAATGAAGGATCCAATGCCATACCATTTTTCGATGTCTAGTGTTAGGAACTGGCATATGAGCCTCACTAGAAGGGTCCTATAACATATAAACATAGCATGGATTAATGATGAATGAGTTAAAAGGTAGAATCTAGGTTTCTAGTCTTCGCTAAACATATTTACTATGTGCTTCACCTGTCTGAAGCTGGCTGAAACAAAGTTTCCTTCATATTGTAATTATTAGCTTCCACCTCATGTGGTGATTCGTTTTTACCCTACTTTGGATTTTTCAAACTCATAATATAATTAATTAAGCCGTATAAATTTTCTTCTAGCTACTTAGCCTGTAGTGACATATAAAATGAAACTCTTGCATCAGCAGTGAAGCTTCAAGCTCTTGCCTCTACCTCTGTGAACACATGGAATGATAGACCAGGGTATAAAAATGATGGGATGGTGAAACTGTGTCTACACATTTTACTTTTCATAATTATGATTGTTGCTGTAAAGGAGAACAAACTTCCATCAACTAGTATGCTATATCACAATGTAGTTTAAATTATTAGTGCTGAATCTCAATCTGTTACAGGAAGGGATCTCGACTTGGACATGATTCTGTCGTTGATGGAATGCTGAAAGATGGACTCTGGGATGTTTATAATGATTATGGCATGGGAGTTTGTGCTGAATTATGTGCCGAACAACATGGAGTAACCAGAGAGGAGCAGGTTTGTCTAAAAAGACAACTTTTAGTTTTCACTAAAGAAAATGACCTTAAAGTCTGTTCAACATTTTTATGTGAATTTATTTATTTATTTTTTCTTTCTGGTTGTAAATTATATTGTACCAAAACTTTATCCTCTCGTACCTTTTTATCTAAATCTGGTTCTACCTTTCCAAGTTCTTGGGTATGTTTAGGAGGATTGAAGTTTGTGACTACTATATTTAGAATTCTACTCATATCAAGGAAAGAGAGAAAATCACTCTTTGGTTGGATTTCTTTGTTCTCCATTCCCATTCTTTTGATTTTATATTCTGGCAATCTCTGTGTCAAACTTTCTTGTTTATATGAGTTGAAATTTCTTAATTGTATTTGAATCACTTATGCAGGATAATTATGCCGTTCAAAGCTTTGAGCGTGGCATTGCTGCTCAGAATGTTGATGCTTTTAAATGGGAGATTGCTCCAGTAAGATCACAAGGGCTTAGTTATACGTACTCGATGTAGCTCATGCAGTTTGTTGTGGATCAAATCTAAATATTATTACGATTTTATGCAGGTTGAAGTCTCTGGAGGAAGAGGAAAACCATCTACAATTGTTGACAAGGATGAAGGTCTAGGAAAGGTGAATATCCCGTGTGCTATTTATATGAATACACGTCTCTTGCTACAATGTAGGTTTCTCTACTTAAATTGTTTCCCTGTAATGTGACGTAATTGTTGGCACTCGGCCAAAATATTTACTTTACGACAAAGAGTGCAACTTTTTGTCAATCTCATTGAACTTGTGGAAGGAAAAAATAATTATGCATATGGTCAAAGAAATGTTCTTTTCTCTCCCCTGTGCTCTATTGATTTGGAAACGCATTACTAGATTATTATTTCCTGTAACGGTCCTGCTTATGCTTCCAAATCCAGATGAAGATGTGTACTCAACTAGCTTAATTTATGCATATATTTAGTCAGCTGGTAACTTAGCATCACCTGCCTCATTGTACTGAAGTTACTATAATTTTTGTTGTTGCCACTTGCCACTGAATCCTTCTCTTTATGGTCAGTTTGATGCTGCAAAATTGAGGAAGCTTAGACCAAGTTTCAAGGAAACTGGCGGTTCTGTGACAGCTGGCAATGCTTCTAGCATAAGGTTTATTTTCTTTCTTTTTCCTTCATTCTTACAGTTCTATTGGGAAGTACCAAGTTGCAGAATGACTAGATCAAAGAGAGATGGATCCTTGTAAAGTTAATACTGTACTTTCACGAACATTTTCTAGAATTTCATGGGAAGCCAAACTCCTTTTTTTATATAAATTTTAGCTTGGATTACTCAATTGTTCTGCCCAGTCGTTGTATTGAATGCTTACAAACTTTAATACATCTTGATTTTTATGGGATCTCCTGTGCATGGGCTTTCAATTTTTTCTTCCAGTGAAGAGAATGATATTTGAAGTATTGAGTTCAGGATAGACCTTATTCCTCTTGTACTCTGTTCACACTTTCAAGGCTGTGTTTGTAACTACTTTGGGTGCTGGAGTAGAATGTTGAAGGTTTTTGAAATCTTTTTATTATTATTATTTACCGAGTCGATCTCATTTTCAGTGATGGTGCTGCTGCTCTAGTCTTAGTAAGTGGAGAGAAAGCTCTTAAGCTTGGTCTACTAGTGATTGCAAGGATCACGGGATATGCGGATGCTGCTCAGGTAATGGGCATATACATATCTGGAGATCTCAACAAGTAGTATGATTTGGTTGGTTCTCCCTTGAAGATGAAAACATGAAGGAATTAAAGGATCAAATTTTCTACTTTAAATATGGGTAATGGTTGAGTTTAATGTTTAACTGTAACATTTTGCAGGCACCAGAATTGTTTACAACTGCTCCAGCCATTGCCATTCCGAAAGCTATATCAAACTCTGGCCTAGAATCTTCTCAAATTGATTTTTATGAAATCAACGAGGCTTTTGCGGTATGCCTTCAACCTAGTCCTTTAACGTAGCACCTAGTTTGCTATTATGAGTTTGTCATATTGAACACATGGAACATGCAGGTTGTGGCTCTTGCAAACCAGAAGCTACTGGGACTTGATCCAGTGAGTTCTACAGCTTCAATCCACCCCCCCCCCCCCCCAAAAAAAACCACCACACACACACACACACACAACTGCATGTGTACATGAAATTCTGCTCATCTATATTTGCTCTTATTATGAGTAGACCTCATTATTTTCTTATATTCCTGATATAAATTTGCAGGAGAAAGTCAATGTACACGGAGGAGCTGTTTCCCTGGGGCATCCTCTAGGTTGCAGTGGAGCACGTATCTTGGTCACACTTTTGGGGGTATGTTCTGAAATCCGCTAGAATGCAAATGTGATGTTACTAAATTCAATGCTTGGTCAGAGGGAAAAAGGGACTCCCGAATGTAGCAACAATTATGGAATGAAAATGTGTAGTTCTTTGTCTAAGGAGTTCACTAGGAACTTAGAATTTGATACTTTGATGCTTTATGGTACCGTTTAAATGATTTGATGATTCAATTTTCTTGGTACAGATTCACGTGCCATTTCTTCCTTTAATGATCCAATTGTGTTGCAGGTATTGAAGCGGAAGAATGGGAAATACGGAGTTGGTGGTGTTTGCAATGGAGGAGGAGGTGCTTCCGCCCTTGTTGTACAGCTCTTTTAACCTTCTTCTGTTTTGGTAAGCATCAAGTTATTGAGGAATACACCATGCATGTAGTGCCCATGGTTCCATCTATCGTGTCGTAGTGTAAGGTGTTACATGCTAAAGGGTCGGGATACATAATACTTCTTATTAAGTGTCGTGTATCTCCCTTCGCTGTTTAACACCTGCCTCACAATTTTTCTCCTAGCATTGAACCGCCTCAATGCAGTTAATGGCCTTGAGTCGTCAGCTTTAAACTTACTAGCACATTTTGTCCCACAATTAACAGAGATATCGAACTAGAACCATACTGTCTTCGTTGATAAAAAATGAACTCGGCTTGCATTTGAGGGGATTTGTGAAGACTGCCCTTGTCCATTTTAAGTTTTAAGGAAAAATGTATTTTGGAATAGTGACTTTTTGGAGAATATGCGGTTAAATAAGGAGAAAAAGTTTTGGGTTTATGCGTAATATTATTTTATTAAAGATTGTGTGGTTGAAAGGAAGAAAAAATATATATTTTGGAAATGTGAAAAAAAATAAATGTCTCTTTTCTGAGCACAAGCTTTTGGGTTTTGTGTCATTCCTCTACGTTTCTGCTGTTATATTTCATTTCCAAGGTCAGAAGTACGCGTAACTGATAATCTGTCTCTATTGCAGCTATTTTCTAGAGTGTGGGCCTTAAGATCGAAGTAGATCATCTCTGCTGCTGGCTACTTTCACGAGAATAAACATCGTATGAAGTAGATTATCAGTACCATCTTCGAATCTAGATTGATTCATATTTTTCTATCCATTATCTGCCACTTTATCTTCCCTTTTCTTCTTCTCTCTCTCTGTTTTTTTTTTTTTTTTTTTTTTTAGAACCAATAAATGAAAGTGTATTGCTCTTTATATAGTAGAAGAGAATATTTATTCCAATCTTTGTCTCTCTTAAGAGTGAACCATACTTGGGAAGTAAAAGTTTCAAATTGAATTAATTAATGTTGTGACGAATTATGAACAACATATAAAGAGGCATATGATGGACCCAATTCATTGATCCCGAATGCAATATCACCACTGTTACCACGACACGAAATGAAATTACACGACTCACCATGCAAATATCAGACAAAACAACCCTTCGAGGGGGCGAAGCAAAAATCAGACTCTCGAGTAAATAACTTGTGGCAAACTTGACTTTAAAACCATGAGATTTAGCAAATAATAGACCTTATTATAGCACAATGTTCAGCGTATTTCATTAACATTCCAGTGTACGCTTAGCAAAATCCTTCATGGAAAGACAACTCGCAATCAATTTAGAAAAGTAATACTATCTGAATATTCTATGTGGCACTTGAGTTAGTGCCAATCTTGTAATGCATTTTTTTTTTAATTCATTGGATAATGTGACAGTGATCTCACTGTAATATAGATCGTTGTTTGTAAGTGGTGTTTATAACTAATATTATACATTCGGAAAAACTAATCGCCACCACACTTACCCATCTTAAACCGTCGCTCCAATTCCCAAAAAGACCCAAGACTCCATAAACCGCAACATCATTATTTAGCTTGAAAACACAACCCTCAATCTTAAATGAATAAAGCTCAGGAACATTATGGAATTCTTTCATTTCTCTAAGCTACTCGTTAGCTACCAAAGTAATAAATCTTTTTCTTTCACGTGACTTGACGAATATTTTTTTAAGGCAGAATTTATAGCATCAAGCAAAGTAGAACTCGACAGGCTAATATGAATTTAAGAATTATGGATGAAATGCATAGAATGCATTACACATGTACATATGACAACACTACATCGACGGCTAGAACTGTTTTTTTTTTTTTGTTTTTGTTTTTTTGTTTTTTTTGTTGTCTAATAAATCTTCATAGTCAACCGTTTCTGTACATGTTGTAGTTAATTAGTTTGAACGAATTCACTGTCACAGGGCCTAATTAATCAATATACATTCACACCAATAAAATTAATTCTTTAAAATAACGTTGAAGTCAATTACGCTAATTTATTTTTAGGGAAAATTGCAGTCAAGGTACCAAATCTTTCGTTTATTAGTAGACTTTGCCCAAACTTTTAGTTTGTACCACTGTGAGTACTAAACCTTTAAAAAATGTGCAGCTCAAATCTAAATTGACAGTTTCCGTTAGTTTGACTCAAAAAACCGTCAGTTGACCCCAAAAATTGAAAATTTAATAATTTGACCACATAAGACAAGGACATTTTGGATAAAACACATTTTTCCTATTACATCAAAAATTTAAAAAAATAAAAATAAGTAATATCACAACCCATCTCCTTCTTCCTCAAATCAAAACCACTTCTCCCAACCAGCACAATCCCCGCAGGCAGCCACCACTACCAACCGGCAGCCACCACCACCCATTTCTTTGAATTTTTCTACTTCTAGTTACAGCTGCACAAGCTTTCTTTCTGAGAGAAAATGATCAAAGCCACTTCACCATCACAGAGTACTGATAGCTCATAAGCCTCCTTCAATAGCCCATTTCTGCGCTTTGAAAATGTTACCTGTTTGCTGGTTGTATTTTCAATAAGCTTCATTTTTACCTTTCCTCTCACCATTTTTTCTACATACAGAATCACCAAACTTTTAATTAATTAAATTACAAACGAAACCCTAAAAAATTAAGATTGGAAATCTCAGAAGAAAATTGGTTAAAATCCCAAATAGGAAGTTTAAGACTTAAAAAAAAAAATGAAAATCAAACTACTACACAATTTGAACAAGAAAATCTAAAAATCCCAGTAAATTTACCCCAGTTCGGAGAATTTAATGAAACAAGAATGCAAAAATTGTGCACTCTATAACAACCCCAGAAACATCTACACCTACGATAAAAGGCAAAGATAGTACAGTTTGAGGAATAAGAACCAAAATAAAATTCTTTAAGTGTTTTCAATAATTCCCAAAAAGTAAAAAGCCTAGAAATGTATTAAACATGAAGGATCTCTCTTCTTCAATGCAACTATTTCTTTAATTTGAGACCACAGAACCAAACCGGCAACCAACACCATCCATTTCTTTGAATTTTTCTGCTTCTAGTTACACCATAATGGGTGGTGGTGGCTGCCGGTGGGGAATGTGGTGGTTGGGGGGAGTGGTTTTGATTTGGGGAAGAAGGAGATGGGTTTTGGTTTTATTTATTTTTATTTTATTAAATTTTTAATGTAATAGGAAAAATGTGTTTTATCTAAAATACCCGTCTTATGTGGTCAAATTATTAAAATTTCAATTTTAGGGGTCAACTGACGGTTTTTGGAGTCAAACTAATGGAAACTGTCAATTTAGACTTGAGCTACACATTTTTTAAAGGTTTGGTACTCACGGTGGCACAAATTAAAGATTTGGACAAAGTCTGCTAATAAACGAAAGATTTGGTACCTTGGCTGCAATTTTTCCTTATTTTTATCATTTTGTTCAATTCATGATTAATTCTATATAATATTCGATCGATACTACTAAATTTTTTGCAATTATAACAATCATTTCGAGTGTGTTTGATTGACATGGAAAATATTACCTAGAAAAGAAAATATTTTCCATCTTTTGTGGAAAATAAAAACCACCTCTACCCAAGGAAAATATTTTCCTTAAAAACAAGGAAAATTAGGCATATTTTCAAAAGTTGGAAAATGTTTTCCATGGAAAAAAATAGCAATCAAACACTCCAAGTGAAAATTTGGATGAAAAATTGATATTTACCATGAAAAATAAATGTAATCAAACACACCCTTCAATTTCAATAAAACTATTTAGATGGACCACAAAATTTTATCCTACAAACAAGAAACTGCATGGATGGAGTTAATTGTTCTAATGGTCATTGAAGTTATGTCTATATCTTTGATTGGTAATTGAAGTTTAAAATATTAAGTTTTGATCACTGAATTTAGGTCCATGCCTTCAATTGCTCATTGAAATTTAAAATGTCAAGTTTTGGCCATTGAATTTTGAAAAATGTTGTACATCACTTATTGAACTTTGAAAAATATTGTATATTACTCACTAAATTTTGAAAAATATTGTACATTACTTATTGTAAACTCGATATTTTTCAAAATTCAACCATTATATTAGTGAGTGATGTACGTCATATTCCAAAGTTCAGTGGTCAAAATTAGACATTTGAAATTTCAACAAACAATCTAAAATATAGATCTAAATTCAGTAAGTAATTGAAGACATTGATTTAAATTCAATGGCCAAAATTCAAAATTTTAAACTTTAATAACCACGGACTTAAATTCAATGGCAATTGGAACAATTAAGTCATAAGGTGCGTATCATGATTCACATGGCTTATCTGGACCGTTGGCCTACTTTAGACTTAGCTGTTCTCTCTCTCTCTCTCTCAATTTCATAAGAAAAGCAAAACCAAGAAACGCGAGTTGTTCGGGGATCTCTCTCTCTCTCTCTCTGCAAAGTCCAAATTCACTCATGGAGGTATGAACCCAAACTTCATATCTGTTAGTTAAATATGAATATGTGTATGCCTTTCTTTTGAATTTGAATTTTATCGTCCTCTGATTATATAAAAGGATTAGTAATGTCTGATTTCATATTTTTTTAAACTGCTGAATATCCTTCAGGAAAAAAATTATTATGTACTCCCCGCACAAGCTAAAGTAATTATGATTTTATCTTGTTGGGTTTGTGGCTAGGTTATTGGAATCTTGGTGTATGCTCCAAGATTTGACATTTCCATTTTGTACTGCGGCTTATACCTTATGGCCAAGTGAGTTAATTCATCTGTGAATCACTAGATCCATAAAGGCTTACTAAGAGTTGAGAGAAAGAGAGTGCAAAACAAAGTGGAGGCATGGTTTAGTTAGCATAGGAAAATGCATAGTGGGGCTGAGTCAGGGCTGGCCCTGAGAATTTTGAGGCCCTAAGTGAATAATTATTACGAGGCCTTTAAAGATAATTTTTTTGCATCTATTGCGATTATTGAAAGAAATAAGTTTTTGAGTTTTTATTTATTTTCCATTAAAATCCCATTATCAGGAGACCAAGTATTGAATCAAATATGGAAGTTAATCTACAGCTTGTGGCAAAGCATTTTCAGTTTAAATACTTCTTCAATTTTAACTGATAAATGGAAGAAACATAAATAAATAACAGTGATGCCAACAAAAGAGTGTTGAATTTTTTTTCTTCTCATTATAGAGAAAAAAAAAATAAGAATTCTAACTACTTAATGAACTCAAAACAATAAGTATAATAAAAAAACAACACCACTATTTTTTTTCCTTTACGCCTATGCATAAATGAGAAATCCAAGTCAAAATCCTTTAAGCCTTGAGTTGCTAGTAGAATATATTGCTCTAATCAACAATAGTAATTAAATTAAAATTTAGGTCATTCAAAAAGAGAAATGCTAGGATGGAAATTTTTTAGAGGCCCCCCAAAGTGTTGAGGCCCTAGGCCTTTGCCTTCTAAGCCTTATGCCAAGGCCGGCCTTGGGCCGAGTTTATACCTGATGGATGCCTGGGAGACAAGTAGGTGGGAGTCTTTTTGGCGAGACGAGTGTGTGTGCTGGGGGCTGGGTACTTGAGTTTGGAAATAAATGCAAAAATATTGTAACTATGGGATAGAAATTTCTCTAATATTAAAGAATGGAAGTCTATGTTAATGTAAAATCCAGTGTTTAAATATGGAACCATTAAACTATCATACAAGGGATTGACTTTTCCTCTTAAAAAGGTTGACCTTTTAAGTTCGAACCTCAAGATCCAATAGCCTATGCATAATTTTTTTATTTTTTTGGATAAGTAAATAGCCTATGCATAAATTGTTAAACTATGTTATCTTACTTCCACTTATCTTTGATTTTCAAGTCGAGTTTTCCTTTTCCTTTCATTGAATTGCTTCCATATGGTGTAAAAGTTGTCTTACCTTTTTCTGTTCGGCTTCTACTTGGTCCAATATGTTTGATTATGCATTTAGAGGCATGTGCATCTATTGATCAGTTCAGTGATCTAGTTAGAGAAAGAAGTGTGTCATCCTCTTTTTGACTGACAACTTGTTTTGAGGAAAGCATATTTGTGGTGAAAATTCTATGTGTAATAGCATAATTGTAGCTCACAGATTATTCCTTCCTGTGTTTCCCATTCTGTCTATACAATAGTGTCTCGTACTTATTATTTCCTTTTACATACACACTATATTAACACTAGGCCATCAGTTATGTCTATGTAGACTAGTATATAAAGTAAGAAGTAGATTTAAGCAATGCATATAATCTTGATTAGTTACATGGAATTATAGTTGATACTTGATATGCACCAGCACCTTAACTGTCAAGTAGAAGTTTGACCTTCAGTGATAGTCAGGACTTCCTTTACATTTGATTTTATATCATGATCCATGGGTTATGAACATGTATTCTCTATGCCATCCTGCTACGAGGTGCTTGATTGATGTTTGGGGTAGTATTAGGATATTTCTAGGGTAATGAGGAGCAGTATATTATTGTATGCAAGATCAAAGATAGAACAAGGTAGTAACAAATAAAGAATTTACTTAGTTCCATCAATTGATAGCACGAATACAATGTGTTTACTTGGTTACACATTTATCCACCACAACTTAAAAATAAAAAAATTTAAAAATTAAAAATTAAAAAAAAAAAAAAAAAGGAAGAAAAATCTTGTGTTTGATATAGTTTCAAAGAGACTAAAATTTGAAGTTCCACTTCCATAAGACTTGTAACCTCTGCTCTTAAACTATATGATGTCCTCTATCTTGGCTTCAGCATTCTTGTGTGCTTCTTCACTATAGCAGAAATGATAAAATTTGGAATACAGATATAGTATCGTGTGGAAGAAGTTAAGCAAAGGTACTACTATATTGCCTTCTCAGAGCAAGCTTATATTTTGGTTTGGACTTCTCTGTGATTATTTTGTGCTCGCATGAAGAAGATGATCAAGAAAAGTTCCTAATAATAGATGCAATAAATCAATTTCATGTTGCAGGTGGAATGCATGGCATTTGTGTTTTGAACAAGTCTCATGTTCTCAATGATTTTTCTTAAAATAGTCATTTTCTTACACTGATAATTATTCTTTGTTCCCTCAAACTAAATGTCTTGTGTCACCCCTATAGTCTTATATCTATTGTCTCAAACTGCATTTTTTTCTTGTAAGGGCGCTTTCAGGTTAAATGCTGTCATTTCAGTTTAATTTTGTATGCTGCAAACTATTGTGGGATTATTTTGATCTTTATGGATAGGAGAGCCTTACTCTATGCAAGTCATAGTTCTGTCCTTTATATTAACTGGGATTTCATCTATACTGAGTACTAAAAGTGCCAAAAAAATTTGTTATTATTTTGTGAGTCTTTTTTGGCGTGCTGCTGCCTGCTAGTATAGGTCAATACATTTATTTGACCACTGATTTATTAAAGTGCTATTTTGCTACTAACATTCTCTTCTAAGTTTTACTCTTTAACATTTTTAAATAATCGAATTTGAGCTTGATTCCCTTCCATGCTTCCATCATATGAAATCCTGTTAATTGTAAGTGTATGTTGTGATACATTGTATTGATATTTGCATTAGCACACTTTTTTACCCAATACTGACATTTTTTTAGGAGCACCTTGCGATACTCTTTCTCCAGCTGGCCTGACCGTTATAGATTAAGAAAGTATATACAATTGGTGGAATCTCTGTAATATTTGGTGTCCGGCCTAAGAAATTACGTATGTAAAGTTAATCTAAATGTTGTTCCTATGTGTTGTTCCCCCTTCTATATTTTGTTCACAAAAAATGAAAGCTTCTTGTAGTAAGTTTCAGTTTCCACAGGACAAAGGTCGACCATTACCAAAATTTGGAGAATGGGATGTCAATGATCCAGCATCTGCTGAGGGGTTCACCGTGATCTTTAACAAAGCACGGAATGAGAAAAGAACAGGTGGGAAGTCTGACTCACCGCCAAAGGATGACTCTACTTATAAGCATGGGGAAACTCTTGGAAAACCCCACTCTGTAAGTTGTGTGCTCATTTCCTTACTCCCATGAATAGACTAATTGCATATAAATTTATAATGACATTCTCCAATTGCTATTTATAAATTGATTTTTCTGTCCATCATATCTAAAGAGAAGTAAACTTAAGATAAGATTGATGCAATTTAGAAACTCATTCTATCTCAACATAGAACTTATTGGAGACTTTATATAGTCAGATTATTAGATTTGGCTCTTTTTCATGTTGGTTTTTGAGAACTATATTTTTCATGGCGTGAATCTTGATATTAAATAGATAGTTTTGCTCATAAATAGATAAAGTAGCTGGAAAATTTTATCGTGGACAAAAAATGATGGAAAAAGTCAAACACATGATTCCTTTTTGAAACAAGGGAGTAGGTTATACACATGTGGCTCCACATTTGCACACAAACATATAAAAATTTAAGAGCATGGAACACTTTAGACCTTGAAGTTTAAGCAAATGCTTCCCGCGTCCAATAGTTACTGCCACACTTCTCATTTTGGGACATCAATAAATATATATAGATATATACATATATATACACACACCATTGTTTTCAAATTTCATCTTCATCCTTGAACATGAAAGATAATTTAAGAGGTCTTAACTAGTTGAAGCAACCCAAGAAAGGAGCTAAGAAACCCCTGGACACTGTTACCAAGTTTGGTGTGGCAGTGTGTCAATCTCAGCAGCAGATAGGTTTTAGCCTCACAGCAGAAAGGATGCTGGTACAAAAGTTTGTAATAAGTTCGAGTGCCTTGTTATGAGAAGGAATTGAAGCTGCTTGATTACAATTATTGGTCAAGAATTTAAATCCACAAGATTTTCTCTTTGGTGCCAATGTGCATTATTACACACACTTTCCCAACGTCACATTAGCAACTGCACAAGTAGTTGAATGGGCCAGCAAGGCACTGAAGACAGGCTGTCAGGGACAGAAGGTAGGATGCCTTAAGGCAAGGTTTCCAGGTGAGACTGAAGGCAGGGTGATCAGACTGCTATGGTGACAGTCAGGGACTATAGCGCAGACATTAACAATCTTTGTCTACAGTCTTCTAGAATTTTAGAAAGTGTAGAGGAAATCAGCGTATGGTGTTCCATTGTATCTTAGATCTTTTCATGGAAGAGTCTAGACCCTTGGACAAAATAAATCTTCACAATCGGTATGGGGAGGTGATGGCCACAATAGATTCAAGAGGTCATTTGTAAATCAGCTTCAGAGTGAGAGAGTAGTCAAGTTGTGAAAAGCATTCGAGAGCAATATAACATGTGCATTCTTTTAAACCCTCTGTCATCCATCCTATTATTTACTTGCGAGCTTTCTTCCTTAGTTCCCACTCTTGCCTAACTGTAACTTAGGTACAACACCTTCCATCGCTGCTAAACAAGCCTTTAAGTTACTTAAACTGACTTACCCATTTCATGAGGGAGTCTTAAACTTAATAGTAACATTTTGTTAATAATTGCCTCATACCTTAAAAGAACTGTTACTTTCTCAACAAACATGAGCTCGGACACCCTCCTCATGGCCTCATACACGAATAATTGGTGAGATGATAATAAAGCTTACGAAACGTGATTTTTTTCATTTTTATTTTTTATTTAATTGAGTGTGCATTTGAATTCATATGCCGAAACTCTGCATCATTTTGACCTTTTCAGTGGAATGATTTGCAGAAGAAATGGTTTTGCTGCATGCAATCTACTTCAGCGGAATCATAAGGGCGGATTATTCATGTCAGCCCTGCCCTGGATTAATTCCAGAAGACTGGAGCTGTTAAGCTGTGATGGGTCATGCTGGAATTTGGTTTGTTCATGAGTTAAGGTTGTATTGATAATGTGGGGTTTAGTTGATAAATTGATGCATTGTGCTCTTTCTTTTTTCTGCTTCATTTGGTTGTGTTTTTCCCTAAATACTGTTTTTGGGTTGTATCCGTTTTTGCTTATTTCCCTTTGAGGGAAGGAATTTGTGTTCTATGACTATTATTATTTCCTCTACTACTATTTATCTTTGCTTTACTGAATGTTGGAATTATGGTTTTGACATTTTCTTCAACATTCTGTGACATTTTTCGACTTTGCTTCTGTTCTAAATAATTTTATGTTCGTCAAACAAACTGGACATTACTTGAACAGTATATAATAACTGTGACTTGATTTCAATATTGCAATTTGACTTTAAAAATCAAGCTTGATTCAAGACAAGACTACTCGACTATGATTGGTGAGTTAGGCATAATTGGTCTACCTTGGTACATCTATATTAAGCTCACGGTGTTTAAAGATTCTCATTTCTCAATATTCAGTAGGATCCACATAAAATTTGTTGAAACTAATAGCAATTTCGCATCCTGCAATTTCTCCTCTCTGCGAATTACAAACCATTCTGATTCAGGAAGGATAACACCGTTATCATCATCATTTATTAAACCGTATGATTTTCAAAGAGCCTCCAAATTTTCAGCTTTTTTGAACCATTACGAGAAGAAGAAGGTCTTCTCCAAATATGCCAGAATGCATTCTACGTTAAGGACCACGCTCCTGTACTCGTTCCTTAAAGGAAAGTGGCGGTGGAGTGGCTGTATGGCAGTGATGGGGATGGTCAGGAGAGGGACTGGACATCGTCGTTTTTGCTCTTTGCTTTCTGGGCTGGACTCTCGTGCTACGTTTACTTCCTCATAACATATAGACTCCAGTAAGTATTATTTTCTTCTTATCACATTATTCAATGCAGTTCTTTCTTTTGCCCTCTCTTTTCAATTTCAATGCCTAATTTTATTCATATGTTTTTTTATTCCATAAACCTTCTTTGTGTAAATAGTGTTGTGGATAATCTAGCTTCTTGTCCACAGTGCTCTAATTTTGTGAAAATTGGAAATGTCAGCCTCAAAAAGAGGGAAAAAGAAACCAAGAATACTTCTCTGTTGCATCACATCCCTAAAACCAAATTATATTGTTTAGGCATTGTCATGCCCGTAAAAATTACTAGTTACTGAAGCATTTTCCAAAATTTTATTTGTGGGCTGAGATATTGTGCCAGGATTGAAACAACCTGTGCTGGGATCAGATGATGTGGGAAAAAGTCACCTGAAATAAAGAATATATTTGAAGTTGGCTGGGACGTACCTACTTTATGAGCCTTTATTGCCACTTTAACTGAAAAATGTTAATAAATGCTTTAAAAGAATGAATGTTAGCAAGATGGGATTGAATAGAAAAGTTGAATGTGTTTTAAACAGTGCAATAACATGTTGTCATGTCGTATTATGTCAAAAACTATGTCAACCATTATATTACTGTAGTATGATTCTAAGCCAAATTGCAATATTTAACGAGCTACAGTGCCCAAGTACTGTAATTGTGTTCACAGGAAAATGAAGATTCTGTGGTTCTTGAGTTGACATCTTATCCATTTGGATTTGTTGCATGTTTGGTACAATGTACTAAAGCATTTGAGCTTCTTTATTTTCATTAAGACTATCAAATGCTATCCAATCTTCCCTACCAAACTTTCTTTTTTAGCTAGCAAGAGCTTAAAGATCCAACTTAATTCAATGGCTAGGGAGACCAGCTCAAATATCGCTATCTCAATGGCCAATTTATTTGTTTTAGAATCGAAATATTTTTGCTTATTTGTTTTCTTTAATATTATTTCTTTCTTTTTGCCCCCTGCATAGTCTGTTACGCAGGGAATACATTTTATATCTATTAAGATAGTCCTCTTACATCGTGCATGATTTCTGGTACGGATGGAGAAAAGCTAAGATGATCTTTGTGGACAGTGAGAGTGGGGGCTGTGGGTACAGACGGACTTGATAGAGTTATCTCGTTTGACTCTCATTACATCTCATCAAATTAAAATTTTCTCTCTCATATTTTCAACAACACAATTTTCAATAAAATAATATTACACGTAAATAAAAAAAACTTTTCATTCTTTTACAATTATTCATTTTTCAAAAAAAAAAAAAAACACTATTCTTCTCATTATAATCAAAATTAATGGGGGTCAAACGGGAACTATGTAAAATGACAGACTATGCTATAGTACTAAAGGTTGGGGACCAAAAAGTCCGATGTTAAAGGTTTAGGATGTAATTTTTATAGATATTAAAGGTTACGTGTGCAAATTTATTTATTATTATTTATTTGTGGGTTAAAAATGTTGCCAGGGCTGTCGCCCCTCTTTGTGGATCAATTTTTGTGTTACATTTTAGCATGGGATGGGCTTTAAAGGTATTTTATCAGCTGGAATAGACTTGAAAGAGACTTAGAATTTTGCTGCTACTCCAGTTTCTGTCCAACTTTAGAATGAGCAGCAGTGTGACCCTGGAGGAATCATTTTCCATCCATTTTCCTCTCTCTGTCTCTCTCCCTCTCTCCAACTTGACCTTCCACCCAAAGACGGGAAAGTTTTTCAATCCTTCCCACGTTTCATCCTTTCATTTCCTTTCCTTTCCTCCATCATTGACTCTCGCCAAGGAAAGGGTTAAGATTGCCATGAAAATTGTCATTGATAGCAAGAGCAGAATGACCTTATTAAGTATATTACAGTTTTCTTTAAATCTATAAGTACCTCTCTGATATAATTTTCATCAGTTTAGTTTTCTAATATTATATTGCTCTAATTTTGAACCTTGTAGTCATTGGACTTCTATTCCTTGGAAAAGCTCCTCAATTTGAAAGGAGATGATGGCTTTCAAATGAATGAAGTGATCGTGGCTCTATGGTCCACCATAGGTTTATGGCCTTTAGTATACAGTATGCTGCTTCTTCCAACTGGTAAAAGGTGACACCCAAGGCTACCTTGCTTCTATTTCCTCATTCTTTTTGCTAGAACTGCTAAAAGAAGGTCTTGCCTTCAAATTGGGTGATGCGGACATCATCCTCATCGGGCCATTTGTTAGGCCATTTTATCTTCTAGTTATTTATCTTGGGTTTATATCTCATTGGGCTTGCATATGGGTTTGGCCCAAGCCCAAGTTATTATTTTGTTATATATATTATTGTAATTGTGATTGAAAGTTCAGTTGATAAATACAATGAATTAAGATTGGCTTTGCCCATGTTCTACCTCTCCTCTCTTCCCCCTCTCTCCCCTGGTTTCCTCCTCTTCTGCTCCTCTCTTCTTCTACTGTTTCTTCTCTGTGCTTCTTCCTTCTTCCTATGGTTGCAAGATGTTCTCTATCTATGCTACATCATTGGGGAAATGAGTTAAGATCAGCATCATTCCATTGTGTGAAAGCTTTTTTTGATCATGTGCAATGTGGATTTCGACTTGGTATCATGTGGGATATGGGTTGTCGTCGACATAGTTGGGTGTGTTGGGAATTTACTAAAACATGCACAACAGAAAATAAAATAAATTTTAATTCCCACCGAAAATCCCTATTTAAATAGAAACTGTGATAGGAAATTATACCTTTTACAAGATCTGCAAACTTTTTGCTTTGATTCTGCAAACTCCTTTGTAATTCTTTTGTTCTAGCAACTTTGATTTATCACCCACAACTGTTTAATTATCTAGCCTTCAACGATGATCCACACAGAGAACAAAATTGTAGGATTATGATTTTCTTTCTTGTGCTAGCAAGAAGAATGAATTTTCTCAACAGATTTTGAAAATCCTAGTCATATTTATATAACTCCAAATGGGTTTGGTCTGACCCAATCCAATATTTAATTAACCCATTTAATTAAATTCGGTTCATGAATTAATTAATCTAATTAATTAATTCGGGCATATAAATAAGCAACACAATTAATTAATTTTTCCAACGCTTGTTAAATTAATTAATTGGTAAATCACAATTTTCTAATTCTCCTTTTGTGTGCGACCCATTAGGTTTCCGATCACGATACCTAACGATGTGAAATATTATTTTGATCTAATCAAAATTGATAAATTAAAACAACATTTTAATTTATCACCAATTCACACTCGTCGTTCCAGATTGACATCTAGCAATGTATCAGGGCAATACATGTGACGGAAAATGTCACGTGATATAACAAAATCAAACTCGTTCGTTTAACGTGAAATTATAATCTGTTCGTCAATATAATCCGATCAATTACGAGATATAGAAGTGTGTCAATATCGATTATCAATTATATCTTTTACTCTACTATTAAATCAATATAAGTCGAAAACTCATTTTCGACTTATGAGTACATCTTGGTCAAGGATTTCGTTTCGACCTAATTGAATGAAATGCAGATCATAATCTCTTATTATCTAAGAGTGACAAATCATCTATTGGTCATTCACAACCTTCATACAATTCTTGACATACCCGAACGATGTCGTATTAACGGCTCTTGACAGAGTAACATCCAATACCGTCAAAGCATGACTGTCCTAATATAAGGTACTATGACGACCTCAAGTCAAATAACCAATCCCGCTACCGAATGTTAGAGATTAACCATTGATACTTAGATAGCTATTCGTGTGAAATCTCTCGACGGGTCTCCAATGTGTGTTCATTTAAGTGTCACCACATTTTAGTTTATGAGATCAGCTACTTATTTCACAAGTAAGAAATGCCACACGTGATGGTCTATCCATAATAACGATATCCATATCTCATTATTACTTACGACCACGGATGATTTAAGATTCAATCATATGTAATTTGTATTTCACAATCACAACTTCTTGTGATTAACAAATTATCAAAATTTGAATCTACAAACTTTATTATTTAATTTAATTGAATATTAATTAAATTAATAGATCTACCGTACAATGCATTAATTATATATTAAAAGTATTTATGTCCAATGTTGATTGGACATAGAGAATAACACTTACAGGGTGCAGTGATGATACAATACAAAAGATGTGATTAGAGCTTGGGAAAATGCATTGTCTTCATTTTTCATCTATCTAATTTTTCAACATATCTCGATTAAGTTTTACTAATCTAAGACAAGTAATCTTCTTTTTTTCCAGTTCAAAGTGCAAGATTCCTGTTTGGCCATTTCTCAGTCTTTCATAATTTGGTGGCACATATGCACTTATTTCATTCAGTGGTGGATCC